CCAGTACTGGTTCATGTACCTATTTTCACACTCATAGTTAATCTTTCACTGCTATTTATCTATCCATTTGTTCCCCTACACGTTTTTCTCACTTTTCTCGGAGGGTGGACAATGACTCACGAAACAGTGACCATTTTCTTATCATTTCTTTTTGGAGTTTAGCCGCAGTTGATTCCACCCAACCCGTGTGCCACTGTAGAAGTTGGAGCAAGCTGACTGGCTCTCCTTCACCACTCTCTCAGAACTTGATTATGCTATATTTATTCTTCCCACTATTAACGACTGCATGAAGGCAGTAACTGATTGTATTATTCAAGCATCTGTTCTTTCAACCTCGACACGTTTCCTATGGCATCCTCGTCCATGGTAGACTCCTGGCTGCCAGCAGGTGTGTAAGGCTCAGAAACGGGTCTGGGATAACTTTTGCAGATATTCCACTATTTTCAACCACATGACTTTCCAGCAGACTCGTGCCAATGCCTGGATAGTGAGACGACAAAGCCAGAAGGAATCATAGATTAATGTTACTACTAGAATCTCTTCTACCAGCAGTTCCAAGGTAGCCTGGAACAGGATTCGAAAGGTTAGTGTGAAGTATGCTTCCTATCCCTTTTCGATCTTTCTCTCCAATGGCCAGGAAGTTGCTGATCTTCAGGATATCACTGACACCATTAGAGAGTGCTTTTCTCATCTCTTCAACACTTCTGTCTATTTCCCTGCCTTCTTGGCCATAAAGTCGCGGGATGAGTGATTACTCCTTTGATACATCATGGACAAGTATATTCTCACGACTGACTCAACATTACACTTTGATATCATCATGGACAAGTATATTCTCAGCATTATCTCAACATTACCTTTTGATACCATCATGGACAAGTATATTCTCACGACTGTCTTAACATTATCCTTTGATATCATCATGGACAAGTATATTCTCACGACTGTCTCAACATTACCCTTTGATACCATCATGGAGAAGTATATTCTCACGACTGTCTCAACATTACCCTTTGATACCATCATGGAGAAGTATATTCTCAGCATTATCTCAACATTACAGTTTGATACCATCACGGACAAGTATATTCTCACCACTGTCTCAACACTACAGTTTGATACCATCATGGACAAGTATATTCTCAGCACTGTCTCAACATTAGTAAATGTATTCTTAATTCCATTGATTCTGTTGGTTCAGATTGTGCGAATGAATGTCAAAATTCTGGATTTCCCAGTATGGAAAACTGGATCATTTCATTTTCTATCTTGGTTTCACCATCCTTCGGAAAAAACACGGACAACACAAAATGCGGCTTGGTTGATTTCTTGTCATGAAAGAGATGATAATTTGGAAAGGAATCCAAGTTTGGTAGTAACATCCTAATATGCATCAAGACGGTATATCAATGTAATAACAAGTTGGTGATCACAGAGAAAGTACTTCAGTTATGGATTTATCCTTGGTTGATAGTTTAGTATCCTCCACATCTCCATCACCATGGAGACGGTTTTATACTCACTATGACCTCATAGTTAAGCACCTCGTTCTTTTAGTTAATGAAATCTTGTTTTCTGATCTTCAACAAGTTATTTATTTAAGGTTAGATTAGGTAAAATAAATACAAATATAATATACATTTTTCACGAGGTACTCGCAAGTAGCTCGCGAATAGCGTAATTCGAGAGAGTAGCATAAACCGCACGTTCGCCAGTGATTTATGACTTAATGGTCTCAGTGGTGGTTAGATATGGTTCAAAGGGAATAAAACACTAAAATTTTAGTATAAATAGATGTATAACTATTTAGCATAAACGAATGTAGTTTAATGTTACAATTTGAGGTCATTTTAAAAAGAAAAAAGGAGTAATTTAGATTTATTTCAATTTTGTTTGCTGGTTACGAGGTCGGTCAACTTGACTAGCCCTGTATAGAGTTAGGGTAGAGGAAATAACAGATAAAATATGAAGTTTATAAAAAAAATTGAAATTTATTTAGGAGGTTTTAAACACTATACAATTGAAATTTGAGAATTTGCACTCGTAATATATAAAAAAAGAACTATATATATATATTCATGGACAAATCTTTAGCAAAAGTACTTCATTAATATAACTGATTTTCTATGTAGAAATGACTTGTAATGTTTACTAAACGTATGGCAAATTTTGTGAAGATACACATACTGTATTAAAAGTTCTAGTATTAATACTATATACACACATACGAAATGGTCATGTGGTCGGTCCCTGGGACCGAGCTCATATTGAGAGAGTTAACATAATAAGATATTTATAAATTTCATCTGACTTATAATTGTTTTTGTTTCTTTATGGACCTTCTTTAGACCACGGGGCCCTGGCTATCGTCCAATCCTTAATCCGTCATTGATCCTAAGTACTCGAAGTATTTTTACGTCAATCTATCAAAAGAAAACGTTCACAGGACAGATCATCCGGTTTGATAGTTTTATTCCTGTAGGATAAAAGATAAACCTAGCAACATATCTACTAACTCGAATCTTTAAATATTTTGTTTTTGTTTTTAATGAAATGCTGTTGTATAATGGATAGCTTAAGAAAATGACTGAAAGCCTAACCAGGATATTTCTGAACAAAATATTTAAAACTCCCATAAAAATGTTCACAGTTGATAAGTGCTCATGTGCTTTGACCATCTCCAACTAAACTTTAAAAAAAAAAACTTCAATCTTTAATAAGAAAGTTCTACTCACAGATCAAACTGAACATCATGTTCAAACCGTCCTTTAGATTAAAACATCTCTTTAAAACAGTGGATCGTTTATTTATCTGTCTTTGCTCTTGGTTTGCCATCCAGTAGCAAACCAAGAGTTGTTTGTTTGTTGTTAATCACAACGGTATACATTGGGCTATCTGTGCTGTGACCACCAGAGGTATCAGAACTCGGTGTTATAATCCTCCATGTTTAACAATGAGTTTATAAATACACGTGTGGTGACTGCAACCCCACTTATGTTGAAAAATCAAACTACATTTTCCTTCAACATCCATGAACACATATATATTACTCTCAAATACGTCAGGTAACATCCTTTTAAGTCCACCCAGTTCGGCGATCCGAAATCATAGATATGAAACTGGACTTCTGATAACTCACTCAAGATTCAACATATATCGCTAATTCCGACCTTGAACTGTAAATTAAAGAAAGTCCATCCATAAAGCACCTGTTCTAGATATAACACAGTCTTCTTATACATTTAATTTGTTCTAAATCAACTTTTTCGATAAAATGATCTTCTAACAAATCACTTTATAAACAGAATGCTTATATTTTTTAAAATATTAATTTTTTTTTCAATTTATTTCCTGTCCTCCGTTAATACTGTTTTGAGACAGTCAATAATAATGTTGGTCTTTCTTCACGCATCTAAAACATTTGAGTTTACAGTTTTTTATTGTGCCTTACGAAGCTTTTTTAGCTTCGTATGCTTGATGATGACCTAAGTAAAGGTTCGAAACTAGCTCGAAACAATGACGAACTATGCGTTTGTGATCAGTCTAACATTAGCAAGTATCAAGTGGGACGTTACATTTTTGATGTTGGCAGTATTAGTAGACTTTGCCTACCTTTCGTAAGTTTACTTTTGATTGTATGTCTTAACCTAACCCCAACTCAGGGGGTTTAGTTTTACTTCAGTTTAACTTACAGAGGGAGGGGACTTCTCTCATCAGTTCAAGTTGGGATCTAGACTTTTTGTTACGAACATTTAATTACTGGACATTTCGTTACCGCTAGATTGTTACGAGGACAATTTGTGACGGGTCCATCTTCTTTACATCATTTTTGTGACAGGTAGTTTTTATATATATAAAATTGATTGATGGCAGTAATAGAAAATGATAATAAGTTATACAATAAGTTGGGGACCATTCAAAAATTACATAACGCTATGGGGATGAGAGGATGTCTACGCCTGTTTTACGATGTGTTACAGAGGATGTCATGAACAGTGTTACAAAGAACATAAATTACAATGAAAACGATTTAGGTCTATAAAAACATTTATTGTAATTTAACATACTATTATTTCAATTCAAAACACCTTTAATAACTTGAATATTTGCAAACATAACATACGCATCATTCTTGTATAATAACTTGTTTAGTCATATTTTACATGCATACTAAGTTACGTAATTGTTAAACTTAAAAATTTTGATCTAGTTACAAAATTCACCAATCATAAAAACCCTTGTAATGAAGCCTTTCGTAAACGATGTAACTTGGATGCCCTAATGAAGTGTTTTTCGTAACAAAACGTCCCAGACTCGTTCAATGCCCACCACAAAATGCACCTGCCATTGTACTGTGTTGTTTTACGATTGTTTTGTCAATAAACGTTATTGTTCTCGTACACCGTCTGGCTTCGACCTTTTTCTTTTCGACGACCTCGGTGAATGATCGGAGAGAACCACAGACAAACCCTTCGTATCAAGGCCTGACATGGCCAGGTGGTTAGGGCACTCGACGTGCAATCCTCGAATCAAAGGATCAAACCCTGTCACCAAGCACGCTCACCTTTCAGCCGCGAGGGAGATATAACTCGGCGATAAATCCCACTATTCGTTGGCAAAGAGTAGCCCAAAAGGCGGCGGTGGGTGTACTGGGATGTACTAACTAGCTCAATCTATCACATCAAAATTAGGGATGGCTAGCTCAGATAGCCCTCGAGTAGTTTTGGGCGAAATGAAATAAAAAACAACAACAAGAAAGGACTTTTTGAGCCTCCAGTTATTATACGGCCCTAATTATTTATTCAGCAGGAAAACTTATAGCGGGAAATATCACAACGATACTTACTCCAAACAGTTTAGAAAATCGACTATACCAATTTTGAAGAGTAGTTTAAGTTCATGTGTTCAATCCAGAGTTTAATTTTCAAACAAGGAAATACTGCGACAACCTCTCTGAAGTGTGTAACGATATGTAAAAGAACCTGTACAGCTTTTACATATCGTTACACACTTCAACCTGTACAGCTTTTACATATCGTTACGAAGTGTAACCTGTACAGCTTTTACGAAGTGTGTAACGATATAAACCTGTACAGCTTTTACATATCGTTACACACTTTAACCTGTACAGCTTTTACATATCGTTACACACTTCAACCTCTACAGCTTTTACATATCGTTACACACTTTAACCTGTACAGCTTTTACATATCATTACACACTTTAACCTGTACAGCTTTTACATATCGTTACACACTTCAACCTCTACAGCTTTTACATATCGTTACACACTTTAACCTGTACAGCTTTTACATATCGTTACACACTTCAACCTGTACAG